GCAAGTGTGCGTTTTTCCTATGCTTTCTCCCTGTGTGTTTTCTTGTCGCATTCAATGTTTAGAAAACTTGGAGAGCTCACACTTCCGACACAGTTTTCTAGACGTGGGACCTGTGTACGTAGGAAACGCGTTCTGTAATTGCTTGGCTGTTACTTGGAAGCGGAAGGAGTCATAGACGGCGAAGAAGAACTGAACGATTAAGTTAATATGTCAGAAATTATGCGCCCAATGATAGACTGGAGGTCAAAGAAAAAAAAACTTTCCTTTGCAAAGGAACTCATGGAGCTTGTTCGAAATTTGTTTTTTATAGGTACTTATGCCACGTTGTTCGATACAAAGTCAAATGTGACTATAGCATAATTATATATATATACAGGTGCTACAAAAATACAAATAAAGCTATTTTTATGATTAATAATAATATCGATCATTTTAAGACATGTCACAAGTTCGAGGATCATTAAAAATAACTGTTTTTATAAAAAGTGAAAAATTCCTGCAAATATTTTAAGAAAATTAGAGAGGACTCCTTATATGATGTACTTCAACGCCCTTCAAGCTTTATTTGTATTTTTGTAAAAACCTGTATATATATATACAGGGTGAAAATTTTGAATGCCACCCCCAGGGGAAGTACTCTAAATGCTGGAGATAGATAATTTTACTCACAGGAAACATTCCTTTATTTTTAAAAAGAAACACAACAGCATTCACAGTTTTTCGAAAATTTGCTTGCCACACCCGGGAACATATATATATATATATATATATATATATATATATATATATATATATATATATATATATATATATAAATATATATATATATATGTATTTGACGTGACATTGACTAACAGCCACATTTAACTATGTATCAAACAACGGGGCTTTAGGCATTTAAATTGCTCTGATACTTAAGTCATTAGCTAAACCAAACATGCCTTATTTACTATTAGGATTTTACCTGTGAAATTGCCGTATTTTCATGAAATAAGTTGGCGCCGTTTTTTCTATATTTTTATTAATCCCAATGCAAACCATGCCAACCCATGCAATCAATGCATTTTTGCCAACATAGCGGAGCCGAACGATTGACCAAAGTTGGTTGTAGATGTGCGAGCTTCTCCATCATTGTGTTCAGTTCACATCTGCAACAATGTTCATCCCAGCAGTGCAAGGCTCGACTCGATACGTACTTCGCGCTGTTGATCATTCAATTCGCGGTGCACCCTTTGGCAAGCATTTTTACCTTGCAAATTTGACGCACATGGACCAATACTGTTTTGATGTTAACATCGAAAGCTGCTGCTATTCAGCTGTAGAGAGAATCATCAGCTTTTACAATCGCCTTCAATTCGTCATTGTCGACTAAAGTTTTCGATCGACCACGGAGTTAATTTCTTCAGTAGAAAATTCTAGTACGGAAGCGAGTAAACCAATAACGGGTGGTGCGATGGTTAGTTGCGTGTATTTTCTGCCGCTTTGTTGCCACGACAGTACGCATATATCTATCATTATCACTCGAATTTTTAACGTAGCCATGATGACGAAAAACGTACAAATGCGCTGAAAACGGAACGCTAACCATTAAACAAATGACTAATGAGCAAATCAGAATTCCATATTTTAAAACTAAAAATAATTTGAACTTAGAATTCTTTGCGAAACAAAATATAGCCTTGAAATAGCCAGAACGGCAGAACGGCATTTTCATTGGTAAAGATCTATTATTTTAAGATAAGATCTTTTAATCGATCTTTTTCAATCCATACCCCAAGAGTGGTGATATTCATAAGCTGGTGAAGGCGATATTGATAAACATAGTATGAGTATTTTAATAAAGCAATCAAGATCTGATAGTAATTTTAACTTAAGCTACTGTTTAGCGTTCAAGAGTCCAAATTCAAGATAGTATACTTTAAAATTCATGAATTACTGTTTATAATAATGAAAGGTACAGGTGTTGCGGTACACAGCAGCATTGACGCCATTCATGTTCGAAACACTCGTATTCCGACAAATAACAATGTCTCATTAGAATAACAATCGACATTGTTCTTATTAGCAAAATTATGCTTCTTCTATCTTGCGGCAGCCACCGTCCGTTCATAATTTTAAATGTAATTAACGACAACCACAAAAATACCATTGAGAATTCATTCGACAACTTATAAAGTCTTAATTCATCTCAGCAAAAGAATCATTAGTCAACGAATGTAGGCGTTATAGCAAATACACCGTTGACTTGCATTAATTAATGGTGCAGATGAAACTGATTGGTTTCGTTTGCATCAATAATATGAATACTACTATTTACCCTGTCTTTCTTCGCCATAAAAAAATAATGTTTAAAAAAACGAGCGAGCCTTACAGTAGTCGCGTATGATTTGTAACATTTAAAACCTCACCTTATATTAGTAAAAAAAGAAATAAAACCTACTACAAAAGATTATAATTTCACTCATACTTGTACGCTCACACTTAATCAGTATTTGATAAATTGTTTTGTTTCGTTAGTTGATAACTCACCTCAACAGCTGTAGTCAAACCTATTGGGCTGCACAAAAATTAAAATATTTTTGCAATATGTCGACCGAAGTAACTCTAACCCTGATAATTACAGTTTTTACTAGTTTCTGGGTTAGGGGTCCATTTCTTCAGACTTTTATATAAATACCCGTAGACTTTTTTAGCATATACTTCAAATGTAAAATGTTGAGGGTTGTGAATAAATGATTATTATTATTATTATTAAAGGAATAAGCCATTTGAACATTATGTTCTAAAATCAAATCAAATAGCGCGCGCTTTCGCGACTTCCTGTTGCACACTTCCGTCCCATTTCACGAAATCGCTCCCACAAATTGCAGGAAAGCGAGAGGAAAGATGTTACACATCAAAAAACAAATGAATGCCGAATAAACAAATAAACTCCGAATCCTCGATTAAGTGCAATGAAAGTTAGTAAAATGTACTTCAATTAGATAAAATTGCCGAAGCAAACTATAACATGCAAAGAGGAATATTTTTTAATCATCATCAGCCTATTAATGTAATGTAAATGTAATAATTAGACTCTGAATTCGTGTTGAGTTTCAAACGTGATTACTAAATTGTTTACAAACACCTTGTAAAACGAATTTGCGAAAACACTTCCACTACTGTACCGGAATTTTTTTATTTAATAATAGCTCACGATTGGAGAGTTAGTACTAAAAATACTTAATCGAGAACACTTGAAACACTTTTGTCGAAGAATTTATGAAAAAAATACGTGCGAAAATGCCGACTCATTGGTTTTCAAGGAGCATTCCGTTTCGCACTTGTTTTTTTTTATATCCCCCCTCCCCATTATAATCTCGAAAATGAGAATTTAAATCAACGGAGGCTGTACGTGCCCCGCTACACTTTCGAATTGGCGTCGACCTCCAAAGTTACAGTGTGTGTAACGAGCCGGTTGACACAAAAAATGGCGGCGCGAAATGAAAATAAGCTTCAAACTCAAGCCAGTAAACTACCTATACTCTATTCAACTTCCTCTGAGACAAAAGGTAAACACATAAACCAATATTTCTAAAAGTTTTTCATTCAGATTCAGATTCATTTATTCATTGTTTAAACTGGGTACAATAAGATGGTAACATTATGTATTAAAATACAGATCCAAACAGTCTGCCCATTTCGGACGTACAATGTCAATAGTTAATTAAAATTCTTTTACAATTTCAAAAATTCATGAAATAAATATGACTAGAGAAGGTGTATTTGTCTCATAAACAATGGCATAGAAAAATTTCGCGGAGAAGCAATGGAACTGTTTGTTTATACTTACTATTTATCAGTAAATTACGGAAGTTGGTTACAAAAAAGGATAAAAGGATTCCATTCAAAAGAAAGTTTAGTCGCATTATGTTGCATTCCATGTAAGTATTATACTTTAATATTGTTACTAGCGGCCGCCCGTGTTCTTTAATTTTTTTAAGAATCTCTCAGAAACCCAACATTTTTTTGGAATAAAACGTATCACCCATGTCTCACCCAGGTAATAAACTATACGTGTGCCAAATTTCATCTTATCCGTTCAGCCGTTTTGCGTGATTGACTAATAAACAAACTCACTTTTGCATTTATAATATTAGTTAGAATTGACTTTAAATGAACTTATTCTTCCGACTAAGTAGTACTTCAGAAGAATTGACTTAAATAGTTGCCAGTGCATTAACTGCAATAAAATCAATTCAACTGTGCATTGCAATATTGCTTTGCTTCGATAAACTGATATTGTAGCCGCGATAAATTGTATACAGTCACATTCATTCCTCACCTCTACAGACTTCACAAACAGTGTCCAAGCTAAACAATTATTATGATTTGACAATTTTACCTCAATGTATATAAGTAGACCGGTGAATGCATGCAAGTGAGCATTTTTGTAGTGGAACGAAACTAGAAAATCTCGTTCTCAGGTTTCTCAGCAAAATACGGAAGTCGTTAATAAATGAGTCCAAAAACTTTAATCTTCAAGAAACAGTTAACGTTAAATTTTTTTTTGTTCCGCCTTGTTGTTTTGTGTTCTAGATGTTTTTTCGTAATTTTGTACAATAACTAATCCTAATCTCTCTTAAGTTTTGCACTACCTTACAATTTATATTTTTTTTTTGTAACTTAATATTTTTTATGTTGTTATTAATGAGGATCTTTAAATGGCTATCTGCTGTTTTTATGTAAACTAATAATATAATATCAACTGTTGATCTTCCTAGATTAATTCAACAAACAAATGTTTCATATGATTTTAAATGTAAGCAAAGCAAGAATTATAGTAACACTATGCGTTAATTTCTTTTAATGAACGAAGTAATTATGATTGACCTGAATAACCTGCACTTATAAATGTATTTAAGATCACTGCAGTGCAAGGCGCATGCTAAATAATATTAATTGGGTACATAGTAAAATCAATTTTAGGAATGATAAAAGTAAACAGCTACCATAGTTACCTTTGTCGTGCTTTGCATCTGAAGGAACGTAGCTATGCCAGCTCGCACACGGTTTTTGACACCACGTATTGTTCCTTTTGAGCTTCTAATAGTTGAAGGCGTCTCTTCATTTTTATAATCCTTGATTCCCGCAAAATATTCCAAATCAGCACCATTGTCACAATCACTCTTTGCACTGTCACACACACTGCTCACTGATTTAACATCATCAAATTGTTTTTCGTTCAAATGAAAGTCGTAATACTTGTCCGCGTCGAAGTAATGGCTGCTGTAGCACATTTTCTCTTGCTTTAATTTGTCTTGTTTCTGTCTCTCCTCGTACGTCGTCTCCGTGATCAGAGGCGCTTTACAAGGCGGAGATGATTCTCTTTCATCAGTTTTTTTCGCTTCACTATTTAACTGCGCAACTAATCTGAAAGAGGTGAGTTGCGTGCTTTCTTTTGATATATTAGCATTTTCATTTATATTTTGATTCACTTGCGATTGCTCTGTCTCGCTTTCTGTTTCTATCGTGTTAAGTTTAGCTGAACGGTCTCTGATATCTTGGAGAAGGCCTTGCGGTAGAAAACTATCTTTTTTGTTCGACTCCGCGATAAACGTTGGCATCTGTGGCGCTACGGGAGGCTCGAAACTCTGTTTCTTTTCCTTTTTTGCTAAATACTCGATGTGACTTTCATCAGTGTGCACGCTACCGTTAAGTTCACTGCTGTTTAGTGAATCGCATGATATATTCGAGTCGTTATCTTCATAATCTAGTTCACCGTTACTACTACCATTTCGAGAATTGATAACAGTCACAGAAACAGCCTTTTTAGAGCTGGATTTCAAGGTCTTCTTTTTCGGCAGCGGTGGTGGCGTGCCATCTAGGTCACTGCAAGTTCCAGAGTCTAGCGTATCGCTAGGCGAGCACTGTCCACTCGACATGACCATATTCGTCATCGAATTGACAAACGAACTGCAATAGATATATGGCGCTTTATCAGTTTTCGTTAGCTCGTCATTCTCGACTATATTTGGCCTTGACTCATCAACGTTTATCCTGACTAGGCTATTGTTTTTCCTTTCGTTAATTTTGAACGTGTCGAAATCGATGTCGCTCTTCAGATGCACGCTTGAAATTTTCGGCGCTTTCGGTTTTTCCGTGTCTGTGTTTATTCTGATCGTGACTACGTGCGGCCCGTTGGTTGGAGCGTCTGCGCAAGCTGTATTTGCCGGTCGCTCTGGCTGGGTCGCCGCTATGAATACCGTTGCACTTGGGCTCTTCGAATTAAGGACGAGCGAGTGCATCGAACTTAGAGAGTCTATTGCGCGACTGTCGGTCGTGTCGAACCCGTCCAACTTCTCATCGCTGGTTATTTGCGTGAAGGTCGTCTGACGCTGTTTCACTTTCGGCGGCAGCGGCGGTATGTACTCAACGTTAGGGCGGGGAGTCACCTCTTCCATCATTATGCTTTGTGCTAATAACCTGGCATAATTAACGGTGATACCACTTGCGATGCGGCGCAGGTCCGCTTTAGATAGCGCCAGTTTTATAAGGCATAGTGTTTCCGGTGGCGGACTGGGTCAATAATCCAACTTCTTTGCAGCGCACCTTGTTTGTTTACACCTGTAAATAGAATAACTGAGCATTAACAACGCTGTATAGGCAATATGACATTTCTAAATAAAGGTTTATCTCATCCTGTTGGAAGTAATCAAGTCTGTGTAATGGGCAATGTTTACAACTTAGTATTTTATACCTTGAATGTAGATAAGAATTTTATTTTAAACCTCTTACAGTCGCTATGATCATGTTTTGTGGACCACATTCATAATAATCCCATAAACAAAATGATATTATCAAAATTACTTAAGAAGTAAATAAGGTAATATGTTCAATTATTATTATCTGTAAGCATAGCAGTTTCATAATTAGTAACATTATTATCACTGTTGTATTGGATCTTGTACCGTGTAACATTAAAGTTATTTTTAGAACCCTCTCAAAATTATATTTTCCTTTGTTATTGGTTACGCTTCCGTATTGCAACAGGTAAGTATATATCCGTTCAACCGGATAAATGGTAAGTTGTACTTATTATGTCACCAAGTACTAACCTACCTTTTCCTTATTTCATAACAGCAAAAATAACTAGATTATACTTCTTTACTTATACACTCGCTTGAATCCCAGTCACCGAGCGTATTTATATTACTTACAACGAAATTTGTATCCAAGCTAATATAATCTAATGGGTAGCAATTTGATAGTACCTTTTTGGTAGATTTTTTAGTACATAAACTACCTTAACGTCTCGCACTAAAGTTCATATTACAATATCATATGTTAAAATACTGTTCAGTCAATATAAGTGTTTGTAATAACTCCCGAAATGTAGTTCAGATCTATTTTTATGGCAAACATTTCACGATTGGTTAATTTTGTACAGACGCAACATGATATGCTTGCCGATTTGTGAAATTATCGTTGGCTAAAAATAATTTTTGGCTAGAAAGACGATAATTTGTATATATACTTAGAGTAATAAGTTTAATTCGCTATTGGACACTACGAAATAAATAATTATGTGATAAGTTTTTTGCTGACTTGAAAGAAATAAAAACTTCAGTGTCAAAGGCCTGAGTATTATATTTCAAGAGGTCATGTTGATTTCAATAATAAATGTAGGTTTGTAGGCTCTCAAATAATCAACATTAATGAACCTTTTTACATTTGGCAACCCTCAAGTTGCAGCTCATTTAGAGTTGGCAACTATTGATTTTTGAATTCTTTACATCATTTCCTTTCAGATGACGTAAAATTTAATAAAAAGAACATATACATAATAAATAAAATAAACGGATCTCAATAAATTTAATATCAGGTATTTGCGGCTACTAATTATTAATTTAAATTAAGTTTCATTAATAAAAATAGATGGCTGCAGGATCAATCGGCGGGATCTTGGACTATAATGTTTATTATCTCGGAGTTAGAAAACAGTCCGCATCATGTACATAATATAACGGATGCCACCATACCTTTAGTGGTTAAACAACTTTTCACTTAACAACTGTAGGTTATAAAACTGGTATTATCACATCAGAATCAAATTTTCTAAAATTCGTCATGTCTCAAACGACCATAGGAAAAACGATTAAGAACTTCTTTATTTTCCTTTTCGGGGTATAAACAGACGAGCAAATTACTTTGCGCTTACTGCAACAATCAAATATTACAGCACTAATGTTTTATACATCGAGCGGCTATTACCTGTCTTGATGGCAATTAACACCATCATTTAATTTGACTTTCTCAACGTCACATTGAAATTTTGTATAAAAACAATTAATTCTATAAACGTTAAACGTGTGAACAATAGTACCAGTTTGCAGTTATTTTTATTATTTTTCCAAATTACCTCTTTCTTTAAAATTATCATTCACTCTTAAAAATCTCTTTGGTAGTGTCGTCTAAGGTGGGACGTTACGTTCCCTAAAATATGGTTGAGCGAAGCGATAGCTGGTTCATGCGTCATGCTCGTGAAGGGGTGCTACCAGCGGAGATGAGTCTGCTCTATACTACTCGTACTTTACAATCGAAATGTTATCTAATTATACCTTACAAAAATAACACTATTTGTATTTATACAGCCAATCGTAATGTCAGTGGACTACATAGAATTTTAGTTTCGAAAACATCGTATTGGTAGCGTCATGATTTTAAGTAAATGTTGCTACTTCTGTTAAATGCTGATGAGTTACTAGCGCCCATTCTTCTTATCAGCTAAAATATGTCCTGAATGGGAGATAGGTATAGTATACTTACGTCAATTCGAGTATTGTATCATTTCATTTCATTTACTACCAGTGTGGGTCTCTATCTGAACCCTTAGTACGAGTTCGAGCTCACGAAAACTATCATAGTTTTCGTAATTGTAAATTATGTTTCTATGTCCATTTTGGTGAAAATTAACCAAATATATTTAAAATTTAAAAAGACGTAAATGATTTAATGATAGAATTTAATCTCTGTTTTGTATTGAAACGAAAACAATAAAATCAGTACCCTTAGTACGATTGCGAGCTCACGAAAACTATCATAGTTTTCTTAATTGGAAAACTCGTACTAAGGGTACTAGGCGCTTTATTTACTCTTTTACTCTCGGTTAAGTGCTAATATGACAGTGAAAATGCATTCATTCAGAACACCTTGTTACTAATACGATGATTGAGTATGATATTTAAAGATAGTTGTAAACGCAACGATATCGTTCAAGTATTCACAATGGACTGCGTAAATACAATTCTTCATTGTAGTTGTGTTTGTGATTTGTGAGATAATGTTTTCAATCATTTGTCAATTGTCATGATCAAGTGTATAAAATGATTTCTAATGCAATTTTGATTGTTTTGTTTTCGGTGCGTATTAGAAAATAAAAGTGAAAACAGATAACAAATAGTAAAGTTAGTGTATGGTCCGATTTAATTTATTTAATTGAACAAAAAGTGTTATTTTATACATATGAAAAGGATTGTATCTATTAAGGTTCGTAGGTATTATTAAAATTCTATTTAAGTAAGAAATAGTTGTACTAAAGTATCATTGAGTAAAAATGAGTATGTGAATAAAATTTAAATTTATAATGAGTTAATATTTTTTTTTAATTTATATCAATAACTGAAAGTAGCGCTTTTAACTGCAGTTTCATTTTCATTATATCCACAGATCCAGCTCTTATTGGTTTCTCCCATCAATAAAAAAAAAATACGTGTGGCACTCGGGGACTGCCGGGGCAAAGCTATTGCATAACATTATTTATCAACTTATGCAATTATAATTATTTATTTATTTTATTTATGCAGAATTTTTATTTCTTTGATATTAATAGATTCGCCATCTATTAGGCAGGCCTTATGATATTTTATTGGGCAAGCACAGCAAATAACAGCATTGCCCGGCGCCAAAAAACTTCCACACGCTCCATAGTTTACCATCTTTGGTTCAAAAATTTAAATTATAATTATAAAGTCTAAATAAAAGGGAGATAAATAAAAATAAGAACAGGTGCTAAAACAAATATATAAAAAAGGAAAAAAAATATATTATAAAAAAATACGAGTGCGGGATTTCAACCGACGACCGCGGTGATGCGTCGAACGTTGGTCCCGTGGCAAAAACTTAACACACTGCGCCGTTTCGATCGATACTTGTAAGGTTAAATTCCCCTCTACTGCCCTCTCCTCGCTCACTCAGAGCACCGGGGGAACAATAAAAGAAAACCAAAAAAATTAAGATAATGTTATAAGTATATTTTATCCACTTTAGATACCAAAGCATAGGAATTCAGTAGTTTTAAGTTATTGCTTATATAAATCAACAAGTCTAACTATGTTTATTATTTATATAATAACTATGTTTCACTAATTATAAATATCTAAGCTGAATACAGTAATTCAAAGTTAATGGGTATATAAACCAACAAGTTGTCATGAAAGGTTATAATTATATGAATATCAGACATTCATAACACTTTACCATGTACTTACAATATAATCCTTACTAATATATTTTATCCACAAATACCACATAGACTAGACTGAATAAGCTATTGAGTGGATTTCAGAGGTTCTACGGCTCGTTTGATCGATATTGGTGACAAACTTAGTTAATTCTAGTTCTCAGTGAGATAACCAGTTATATAGGTATATGTAAATATATGGAAATGGGCAAGTCGGGGTCCAACCTCGCCTGGGGTTCCTTTTCACGTTCACCCGGGGTTAGTAGAGAAATACCTTGATTATGATAGGTTAAGCTGTGTATAATCTGTCTGCTGTTCGGCCGGGTTACATAAAACCGGAGAGCGGCTGGCAAATAAACTCCCGCGCCCCTTCTGGTCCGTGCACAGAACAAAAGTCTCCTTGTTAGTCCTCCAGTATTTCTTGAGGGGAACGTACAAGCCGTTCGAAATATGAAACTATCCGTAGGTATTTTGTTTCCTATCACAAGTTACCGCCTTATTATTGCAATCGCCTTGCGAAGGTTCGTGTTCGTCCACCTACGAAACTCAGTTCGGTTAGCGACTCCGCGCTTTTTCCGCCAATATCCCTCGGGATATAAACTTTTCGGATCTATCTCACGACTTCGACGACAATAATGTGCCGTTTATTATACTTTGGGCAGAAGAAAAGATGAAAAGTTAACTGTACCACAAACAGATTGTGAAATTTTAAAAGTTGTTTTGACAATTGCTCATAGATGATAGACGGATCGTCCACTCTCAAACATGTGTCTATGATTTGTTTCCCACTTCAACTGAAGGCAAAGGCCACAGTCAAACAGACAGCCGCCGCATTCGAGACGAACCGAAGAATAAACTCAAAACTATATACCTACGCTCGCCGTAAGCTGAGGAAAAGGGAATACCTACCCAAATCAGCGAGGAAATTCAATTTCGAGTAAAATTCAAAATCGATTAAAAACAGCACCCGATAATGAGGACTCAAATCGATCTGGGAAAGACTATTCAAAATTCAACAACTGTCAAACTCCATCCATTCATCCACGCGCCCCCACAGAGATTCCCCGCCTGATTACTTTTTTTTTTTTTTTTTTTTTTTTTATAA